TTTAGGGGAGGATTCTAAAACTAACCAAAAAGGTTTCTTTAGGGGAGGATTCTAAAACTAACCAAAAAGGTTTCTTTAGACACATACTAAATAAATGGAAAAGGAAAGAATGAGCTACCTAATGAAAACGGCAAAATGCTAACAGGTAACAAAGAAAAGGCAAAATTATTCAATTCCTATTTTGGTTCAGTCTTCTCCAAGAAGAAGATATGTTTTCCATCAGGAAATTGTTCAAAACAGGATAAGAGAAAGGACTGAATGCTTGACTGATCAAACATAAGATTCCAAACAATGGTGAGTTTCCTTGAGTAAGTCAGCTGTCTTACCTCCCTTGAAGAAAACAATAGTGTAGCCCCTCCTTAAGAAGCCATCATTTGGAAAATTTCTCTAACCTTCTCATAGTCACTCATGCTAGTCATCTCTTGCTTGGATAATGCAATGTGTTCCACATGGAGCTACCCTTGGAGTCTACTCGGATGCTTCAGCTGGTCCAGGATGTACCAGCTTGAATAGTTATGGATGCATCTCAGTTTGTCCATAGGAAACCATTACTTTGCAAGTTGCCATGGCTACCAATTGGCTTCTAAGTGGAATTCAAAGTCCTAGTTGTCACCATAAAGTTCTTCATGTATCGTATCATGTATAGCAGTAGGACCACTCATGTCCAATTGATTTTGCTCATCTTATACAGCTCATAAACCAGGGGTGACTGGTAGTAAAAAATGCTACCATTCGCCCGAACCAGTAGTAAAAGAAATGCTTAACAAAGTAAAAAAAATAATCCAAACATCAGCTGTGCTGCACGATGGTAGGAACTTTTTTAAAACTTTGTTTTAGCATTTGGGGTCTGTTCTTGCTCCCAGGAGGCTTCCCTGAGGCCTGCTAGGCCAAAAAGGGGTGGGTGGGTGAGGGTCCATTTTTACTCCCAGGAGAGTTCTGTGAGGCCGGCTAGGCTAAAAACAGGGTGGATGGATGGGGGTGCTGCAAAAGAAAAAAAGGAAGGAAGAAAGAAAGAGGTATGGGAGAAAAAAAGGGAGGGAAGGGAGAAAGAAAGAAAGAAAGAAAGAAAGAAAGAAAGAANGATTGTTGGGGGCAATATGCTGACTCTCTGTAAACTGCTTAGAGAGGCCTGAAAGGCCTATGAAGCGGTATATGTCTACTGCTATTGCTATTACTGCTATTATTTTGTTTCGAATGTAAGAGTAATGGAGAGGAGATCCAAAATATTGCATAATGTTCAAATGATCAGATAGGTTAATACTTGGTATTCAAGCAGTACAAACAACAACTTAAACTATAAAGCTCAAACCCTTTTCAGTATTTTGAACTTCCTCCATGTGCCCTTGGAATATATTGGGTAATATTAACCAAGGAGAGAGAAAGTTAATGACAAAAAAGGCAACAAAAATAATATTGTTCCTGGGCCTCTCTGGAAGGTGTCTGCAAATGCTTATCAAGTTCTCACCTGTTTCTGATCATGGTAAAAACAGATGAGACCCAGTACAATCTCTGTTCCTACTTGACTTTGGTTGAGGAACAAATAGCAGCATTTGTTCAGCTTACCTTCAGCAGCTCCATGGACATTATTTTTCTCAATAAGCAAGTAACGGGGGCTTTCAGGAAACCAATTCAGTAGCAAGAGCTGCAGAAAAGCAGGAACCACCACTACAGAGAGGAAAAGAGGCCAATAGGCATCCTAGAAAGAAGATCCCAACAGAAGTGAACAGTAATCCAAATGTTCACTTGTTTATTAGCCTCAACCAAATATAACATGCACTGTAAACAGGGGTTCAACATCTTTGCCTATGATCAGCTTTCTTTCTATAGCTGCTGCCCTTCATCTTCCTTCATGTTTCTCATGAACTGGATAGTATGACTGGATTACTGGAAAAGTGGGTGCATAGCAGTGGTGGGTTGCAGGAGGTATGTCCCTGTACGGGTGTACCGGAGCCTGCCCAGAGCATCAAGTACCACTCCGGTATGGTGCTCCAAAGGGCCCACCTGCCTGCCTGCACTGCTTACCTGTCTTTAAAGTCTTCGGCGCCTCCACACATGCACACGGCACGTACAGCGCCTATGCGACGCTCCGCCAAGCAGCTGGAGCATCGCGGAGGCGTTGCTGGACGGCAAGATGCATATGCATGCTGTGCGCATCCATGTGGACAATGCCGGGCCCGTTCCAACCGGTATGGTTGGAATGGGATCTGGAACCCACCGCTGGTGCATAGATAGAAATTAGAGTGGGTAGAACAGTATGTATTGTTTCTGGTGTGTGAAAAATAACAGTCTCAAGTAACTGCTCAAAGCCCAAGTGAAAGACTGTATTAACTCACAGGCACATACGCCTTACACAAGGAATAAACAGCTTGACGAGCAGAAACATTGGAAAACAAAAGGCTTTGTGAGCTGCTTGCAGAAGCAGGCAGCATGGAGAAACAGATTGGGCTTCAAGGAAGCCGAATCCATTCACTTATGTAAACCAGTGAGAGAACAACTGTAGGATAGAAAATGGTGCTCTTGCCATTTCTTCAGCTTACTTTACGAACGACGGACGGACTGCATTTCATTGGGCACCTTAACTCGTTTCATCCAGAAAGTGAAAGTATAGCATTTACCTCTCCCAGGAACTCTGGAAGGCCCAAGACCTGGGCAGAAAAGACACCCAGACAAATGAAGATGCTGGGAACCAGGCCCAGGAATCCCCGGAGGTTCTTTGGGGCAATTTCTCCTAGGTACATGGGCACCACACTGAGACAGATGCCTGACAGAGGGATAGAAAAAGAAGAAAGAGAATCTATTTCCAATATTTTTATATTTAGATCATATCATACATTATTTTGATAATTTAATCCCATTCTGTAAAAGCCACCCAGAGTTTCTTGTGATTGAGGCAGTATTCAAGCTGACAACTAAATAAAGAAAATAAATAATTAAAAAGTCACCTTTATAGTAAAAAGATAAAACATCTGACACCGTTATAATTAGTTCATTATGGCATGACATTTCTTGAGAAAACAGCCTAATTCAGACTGCTTATGAAATGAATCTGCAGTCAATTACTTAGGAACATGGTAGGTTTTTTATGACAAGGATTCAATTCCTGAATTAAGAAGATGACATTTTTCTTTTCATTTCAAGACAAGCTCAACAGGGAACTTTATTTGAAAATGAAATAGCTAGTTCAATCTGCTGTCCTTCAAACTGAGCTACACTGCCCATAATTTCTAGTCAGTATCTCACATCACCTGGGAATTTTGGAACCTGTAGTTCAATATACCCAGGGGTGGGCTGCTATGGGTTTGGCCAGGTTCAGGAGACCCCTTAGCAACCATTATGGCTGGTTCGGAGAACCTCCAAATCCCACCCTGGCTGGCCCCACCCACCCTGCCCCTCCCCTACTAGGAGTCTCCTTGCACCCCATTTTGGATGCGAGGTAAGTGCAAGGCCCACATGGAGACTCGGGGAGGAGGAAAACGGGCCTCCCAAAAGTTCAGGAAAGCCAGAAACAGGCCCGTTTCCAGGCTCTGGAGGGCCTCCAGAGCCTAGGGGAAGCAGTTTTCACCTTCCCAGAGGCTCGAGTAAAGCCACTGGAGCCTGGGAAAGGTGAAAACGCCTCCCTTCCCATGGTGTAGGAAGCCAACTAGGCCACGTCCACCATGGCGACGCCTATCCAGCAACCTGGCAGAGAACCCATTGCTGAAATTTTTGAAGCTCACCACTGGAGGTGGAGGACACTAAGATGGAAAAGGCTGGCATAAATGCTATTTTGTAGTGGTTGCTTATTTTCTGGTTGCCAGAAGGTACAGAGCCCCAAAACCAGTACATGGGGGTGAGAGAGGAAAAAGGAATTGTTTTCCATCTAACACTGAGACCTGCACATTTGTTGCATATATGCCCATTGATTTGACAATCATTTATTATTATGCCTACAAGCAATGGTCTTTATATAATTTAGGACTGCTTTCGCTCAGAACGATAATTTTGTTTATTTTCTTAATTAACTTTACATTTGCATAATGACAATCCTATACATTGTAAACACAGAGAAATCTTGTGCAACGCAAAGAGTGGGGGGGGGGGCAGAGATAGGCTGCATACGTCTCTCTAAATTCTGCAACAGTTTGTAGCTTCAATAAAAGCATTCCAAAACCACAATGGGATTCAAAGATCAATGCTTCTATAAAAACATTGCAAAAACCAATTCTCATGCTTGACTTGCTTTATGGAAACAAAAGGGAGAAAGCATAATGATGCAGCAAGAGAGGTCCTTGGTAGTCTCTGAGCTTGGTTGTTTTCTTGCAGATGTCTCATTACCCAAACTAGGTAACATCATCAGGACTAGCACTGATGGTGTTACCTAATTTGAGTAATGAAACATCTGCAAGAAAATAGCTAAGCTCAAAGACCACCAAGATCCCCTCATTTTAACCCTGAGCTACAAATATTCTCCTTTATTAATGCAGCAAAATCCTACCAGAATGAATCCCTATGATGAAGCGTCCCAAAATGACCATTTCAGGGGATCCCAAATAGCGGCTGAATCCCATTAACATGCCAGCCAACAGAACAAGGAAGTTGCTACGGATCAAAGTGCCATTCCTGGTAATGAAAAGACAAAAATTGTAATTGTTCTCATATTTTCTCTTCTCCTTCTGCCTCCCCAAAATTGTCTTACCATAACCCCTTTTCCTTTTTATCCTAAAAGAGATTGGCATTCCCCTTTCTTAATTCCAATGAGGACTATTTATCAGATGGAATCAGAAATAAACTGGCCAGCCGAACAATTCACGGTACCTGTGTAGCTAGTTAATTACTCTGATACCAAAAACTTAAGAGTAAAAAAAGAGGAGCTTGCTGGAGCATAAATACAGATATTGTTCTTATGACAGCATAATTGATTCAGAGAAACTTTAAATTAAATGCAGGGCATGACTGAAAGGCGGGCAAAAAGGAACAGGTCAGGCTTTTCTCGGTACGTCAAGCTGATTAACTCAATTATCTATTTAATTATTTTCATTATTTAAATTCCTCCTTTAACAAAATGAAGTTCTAAGACAACCCAAGGACAATAAAAGGTGCTCATTTATCTTGAAAGTTAATAAACAGCAAATATATTTAAATACTTTAATATACTATATAAGCAAGTTTTCTTTTCCTGGTAATTTTCTTACCTATTGTTCTACAGCAAATATCATATTATCCATGCAGAATGAAAATTGTAATCTATCACACTTGAGTGGGACCATCAGATTAGAAAAAAATGTCCTAGGCGTGGCAGTGATTTCAGGATACATCAGGTATTGTTGCTAGCTTGCAAGCTCTCTATGTATAATTGAGAATCACTGCCTTATCTTTTAGTTCTTATTACATTCATTGGTTGCCCATCTTACCACAGGGTAACTCTTGTTGCACAGCTCTTACCTCCCATATTGGGTGACCAGAATTCCCACAGGAAATGACCCCACCAAGCCTCCCAGGGCAAAAATAGAGACAGTCAGGGAGTACATGAGAGTGAGGGGTCCTTGTGCCAGGCCCTGCCCATAGCGTTGGTACCATGTTGCATTGTAGAAGGCTTTGATGTGCTGCAAAAGGAGGGAAAAGGAGACTGATAAAGAGAAGATTGCCACAATACTAGCTCCACATTTACCATGGTCAATTTTTGCAATGCCTGGGTCAACTGAAGGCCAGGGATGCCTGGAGGGGATAATATCAATCAAAACACTGAAGCACTGGAAAAAAAAGAAGAGAGCTACAGTAGCTCCTGTTAAGGTCAGGAAACCGAAAGGGCTTTCTGCCAGATCAGTGATGGGAAATCTTGATTGTTTCTGACTTGTAGCTTCGTCAACCCAGTCAACAAAGTCAATGGTGAGAAATATTGTGAATTATAGTTCACGAGCAACAGGCCAATCCGTTGAACCACTGCATTGTTCTACTTGTTTAGGAGAAGAATAATTTCACTTTCCACCTTCTATTCTGCCTTACCACTGCTGGAGAGTTTACCACAGCCAGATTGAAGCCATACAGCATGGAGGACCCAAATGATGACAGGAGTGTAACAGCAAGAAGTGGAAAGGTCAGATGCTAGGAGAGACAAATAAGAAAAGTCAGGTCAGAAAAGGAAATATATGATTTCTCAAAATTCTACTGTCATCTGTAAGAGTCATCCTAAATAAGCTTCCTCAAGTCTGATACCTTTTACATAAGATGGCATTACAGTTCCCAGAATTCCCAGATAGCAATTAGATAGTACAAAATATGTCAGAGGGAGGAATACAAGTTTATTCACGGATGGAGATTGGTCCACAATGGGAATTAGGCATGCCTGTAGCCAGTCTATAAATAGAATCTTTCCATTATAGCTAAAGCTGAACATTGAATTTGGGACTAGAGAAAATGGACAGACATTGACTAAATCTTAAATATCATGGGAGCCAAGGTGGCGCAGTGGTTAAATGCAGCACTGCAGGCTACTGCTAGATCAGCAGGTCAGCGGTTCAAATCTCACCGGCTCAGGGTTGACTCAGCCTNAAATATTTGAGTTAAGATACTTGAATTAATATGAATTATATTTGATGATGGTGGAAGAGATGCACAAAAGCCTTTTGTAACCAGCTGATACACTTTCTACAATATGTAAAGAAGGAGGAGTTGTAAAATAAATAAATAAAAATTTATAATAATAATAAAAAAAGAAATAGGAAACCATTGTATAAGTCCAGCCAGTTTTAACAATACATACATCTATTCAGTTTCGTTAATACGGCCTTCCTGCCAGCATTTCAGGGTTTCAGGCAGGAATCATATAAATTTGTATAGCCTGGGCAGCAGGGGTGAAATTCAACAGGTTCTGGAGAACCGGTAGCAGAAATTTTGAATAGTTCAAAGAACCAGCAAATACCACCTCTGGTTGGCCCCAGAGTGGGGAGGGAATGTGGATTTTGCAGTATCCTTCCCCTGGAGTAGGGAGGGAATGAGATTTTGCAGAATCCTTCTCCTGCCACGCCCACCAAGCCACGCCCAAAGAACTGATAATAAAAATGTTTGAATTTCACCACTGCTGGGAAGTGAACATGAGTCTTTTGCATGCAAAGCATATGTTGTGTTACTGAGCAATAGTTTTCTTCCCTGATATAAAAGTAATATCTGATTACATTCCATAATATAATACTAATAATAAGTGGCAATGGAGCTGAAATGGTGTAATAATTAAAAGACTGGAATATTTCTCTTACAAAGAACTGCTATAATATTGGGATTTGTTAATTGAGAGCCAAGATGGCCTAGGCCCTAGGGAGTGCATAATAAGATGTTAAGCACATTGTGAAAATATGAACAGGGAAAAGGTAAGATATCTCCTTTCACAAATACAATTGTTAGAATTCAGGGAGATTTACTGAAACTAAATGGGGAAGCTTCACGAGAAAAATATCTCCTCGCTGAACAAAATGAAACTACTGAACATACCTGAGTTACAAAATTCCAGATGACCACTAGATGGCCAGAAAAAGTTACCGTATATATGCAGCCAGAACTTGGTAGTCTTACTATTGTGGGAAATAGAGCTGAATTACATGATCTCTTAGTCTGATTCTGTTGGCCTCTTATGTTCTTATACACCATAAACAGCATTTTCAATTTTTGAATACAAATCAGTGGGGCTTAATTAAAACAGTTTGGGACTCTGGCCAACCTTAAATGCCTAGGCTTGAAAGTTAATTAGGATTGGGAGGTTGGAAAAATTCTCAAAATATCCCAACTCATTCCCACAAGGTTGCTTAAAAAGCTACATGGGTACCAAATCACCAGAATTTGACTTTCAGAAGTCTATCTATACTTAGTAAAAGTTTGTGTGGGAACATCACTCTATTTTTGTTTTGTATTGAAGTTTCAGAAGTAGGAAATTTGTTCTAGCACACAAAGTTATTGTGAGAATGATCACTCCTAATTATTTGAAATATGCAATGTAAAATGGATTAATGACTTTGGGCTGAACAAACTCTTTTGAGCTATCTATGCTTTTCTTTCATCACAAAGGAGTTGGCAAAAATAGACAGGGAGCTGAGAAAAAAGTTTAATGACAGAGAGGGGAGGGACAGGTCACGATCTACTTGATTCTGAAGTTACAGAAGGTAAAAAAGGATTAGCAGTAGCACCGTATTGTGACTGCGCTCTAATCCCAAAGATTATGACCCAGCACATTTGTTCTTACCGCATCAATTCCAGAGAGCTGCATTCCCATGTTGATCACTACTACAGACAGTACTTGCCATCGCACAGAAGGATCTGAGAGCAGTTGCAGTACAGACACAGCTTTCACTGAGGCAAGTGAACGTTTTTCTTCCTCTATCTCCTTAATGGTATCCTGTACATTATGTTTACCAAGGAACAAGCTTAATGCTGTAGGATGAGAACAACATGTTACATTCCAGAGCACTGCAGGATGGGACAAGGGACAACCAATGGAGAGAATGCAATTTCCAAGATTTTCTCGACCCAAGTGACAACATCAAAATCATTTTCAAAGGTAGAGGCAAAAGTTGCAACCTTTAAAGTTATATCTCTGCTTTGAATGTAGTGTAGATTAATATGCAGATTAATATAGAAAAATGCAGATTCAATGTAATATATTTAATAAAAATATTGCTCATAAGCTGTGAAATTCTTACAGCTCCTCAAACTGGTGATCTTCATATGAATTTCAATTCTTACAACTTCCAGCAACGTAGGAGCCGAAATCATAGGAATTCAAGAAACTAGGAAGGCATCAGTTGGAAGGTGGGGGCCTGACAGAATTTATGTTCTTGTTGAACCCATCATTTTTTGCCTGCTCTGGCAAAAAAAAAAGTGTTCTTGAACTATAAGAATTGAATAGGTCCACCTGGATAACCTTGGGCCAGTCACCTTCTCTCAATCCTAGGAAAGAAGCAATGGCAAATACTTCTGAAAATCACTGCCCAGAAACCTGCAGGAACTTCTTGGGTCTCAGAACTGGACACGACTGAATGAAAGTGTGTGGGGGGGGGGGACTATAACCACCAACATTTCCTGGTCAGAGGTTGCACTTCAACTGAGTGAAAAGCTTAGGGCTAGGAAAGCAACTCCATACGATTTAATTTACATGATTACTAAGTGTGTGTGTGTGTGCGCGCGTGTGTGCGTTTGTGTGTGTATGAGAGACAGACAGACAGACAGAGACAGATAGACAGATAGACAGACAGACAGACAGACAGATAGACAGATAGACAGATAGACAGACAGACAGATAGACAGATAGACAGACATTTATAGCAATTCAATATAAATATAATTGATATTAATTTTATCCTTATATCACATAAAAATTTATATCAGTAAATGATTGTTCTCAGTGAGGCCAAATCAAGCCTCAGATGACAAAATGCATTAGAATGGCCAGACTTTTAATGAAGCTGCACTTGGCTTTAATAGAGGAAATACAGTAGATAAAAATATGTTGCCATTTGGAATATTGTTAGGTGTTAAATTAATTCTGCTGCATTTTCAAGTGATGGGTGATGTATTAAAGAGGTGCAAAGGGAACTTTAATTACCTGAGAGCCAAAATGAGAAAATGAAGCCAATAATACTACATATTATTGGCTGGAATCTCTAATATGTGAGTTAAATTTAGGACCAAGAATAGAGATTCAGTACTAGACCCAGACAAAGAAGTCAGTTAGATTACTCTGAGCCACTTTTGGGCTAAAAGAACTTCACTGGATGGCTGTTATAATAGAATGGTGTGAATGCCAGCTTGAGGAAGAATTTTTTAAAAAAATCTATTTAAAAGGCTTCTATGTCACTTCAGTAATCAAAATTCACCATTCAATAGAGATGGCTCATGGAAATAATATAAGAATTAGTCAGAGAAAAACAACAAAAACTTTTCTGATAAACTGGGAACTTAAGAAATTTTTGCTGGAAAAAAATAATGTGATGATGTATGGGGTTTTATGATTAAAAATAATGTAGATTTAAAAAGAGGCTGAAAGAACATGTAGTAATATTGAAGAGGGAGGTGACATCGTAATTATCAAAAAGAAAGATGTAAGTAATTGTATTTCATTTTCTTCCTTCCTTCTTTTCTTTCATTTGTTTTTATATCTTATATCTTAATAAATAAAAAATAACACCAATACAGTAACAGCAATATAATAAAACTATAACATACCCATAATAATTATATCCATATAGAAAAATCGGCCATAATTATCCTTAACTATTGTCAAACCGCAAGTACCATAGATCAGTGTTTCCCAACCTTTGGCAACTTGAAGATGTCCGGACTTCAACTCCCAGAATTCCCCAGCCAGCGAATGCTGGCTGGGGAATTCTGGGAATTGAAGTCCGGACATCTTCAAGTTGCCAAGGTTGGGAAACACTGCCATAGATAATCAGAGTCTAATATTCCATCTCAGGCACTTTCTATCACTCTGTCTAAGTCACCAAAAGCTCTTTCCTAATCTTCCTATTAGGAATATAGGGCAGATATTTATCTGGTAGGAGAGAATTCCCAAGGTCGGGACGATCCACAAAGTAAGTTCACCCCTTGCCACTCTTCTGGAAGTAGGAAAAATCAGTATAGCCTTGCAGTCTGTGCCTCAAAAAAACATTCATAGTTCTGTCCTTTATTTGTGAGGTGCTAATACATCTTTGAGACTGGTGAGCTAGAAATATGCAATTTAATTGAATTTTACATCACTTTTCTGCAACTTGGCACTCCCCAGATCAGTTGGACTATGACTTCTATCATCCCTGGTCTCCAGAGTCAGTTGAGGAGGATGGGCTTAGCAGTTAAGATTATAAAAACCAGGAGCTCCTCAAAAAGCACAATCTTGCCAGTTTTATGAGCCAAGGTGGCGCAGTGGTTAAATGCAGCACTGTAGGCTACTG